CAACATTGATAACGTAGAAAGTGGGTCTTTGTCTGGCACCTATAGGAGACTTTGACGACAAAGACTTGTCCCGACATCAGTGGCACAGGGTCCAAAGTCTGTCAGACACATTCTGGGACAGATGGCGCAAGCAGTATTTATCTACTCTGCAACCTCGCTAAAAGTGAACATCTGAACACAGAAGCTTAAAACCAGGAGATGTTGTACTCCTAAGAGACAATGCAGTGAAACGCAATGTCTGGCCTATGGGCATCATTGCTGAGGTGTACCCCAGTAAAGATGGACTTGTTCGGAAGGTTCAGGTTAGAGTGGCAAAAGCAGATGGCATAAAGTTGTTCTTACGACCTGCAAGTGAAATAGTTTTGCTTATTTCTTCCAAAGAATAATGTTTGAGAATGTTGTAAATGGTGAAACAATTATAGTTTCAGACGGGGAGTGTCCTGTTGTGTGTCAGTTTGTTGACATTTCACAGATTTATATTACAGAAGTGTTCAGTTGTTGCCATCTAGTGGCGGAATTTAGGTACTACATTTTAACAGCCTGCCGTTTTTGATGATGTCATAAAAAGAAGACAAGGCAGGAGAACACAAAGCATGGTTTTCTCTCAGTAACACTACAACTTCGATTCAGTCGGTCTTTGAAAGCACTGCTGTTTTACCCTACTCCAACTGGCTTCAGTAAAGAGTCAACGTAAGCCCTCTTGTCTGTGTGGTCATTTTGGAGAGGAGTTTATCTGAATGTCGACAAGGCGATGGAGGTTGAGGACATGACAACTGGGTAATTATATTTTACGAGAAAACGCCAGTGAAACGTTATTTAAACCCACAACTAGTCTTAAAAACAACAAATCAAAAAATACAATTAGATTGAAATGAATATAAATTATTTTCACTTCTGTTTAATCCAAATTAAGTCAGCAGCTCCGTAAGGAGCATTTCGATGTAAGATTTAAAGGAGCTGTCAAGTTTACTTTGTAACTTCAAAGAACAGTATTCATAGTTAGATTGTTTTGTTATCATAGCAACAATCTGATGCTGTGAGTTTAATCTTTGAGTTTGAACTCTATTTGTTCAGAAATAAAAATTAGTAAGCAATATGTTTTATTGGTTACTAAAAACATATTGCTTTTTAGGATTTACAATTAAACTACCCCCTCTCTCCCAGATTAAATCTAACACACAAGCTGTTAGAGGTGCTGATGTTTTTTGCAGCAAGAGGAACCCCTAAGTCAAATTCTGCTAAAGGCCTGATACTGTCTTGGACCGGCCCTGCACAGTGAGTTAAATCCACTGCAATGCGCAGAGAGATACGCAACAAATGGGAGATTTAATTCAATGCTGCTAATGTGGTTTTAGTAGCTCTTCCATTTTGTGTCTGTTGAGTTTTTTTATAAAGGTCACAGAAACTGTTCTGGTTGCTGGAGTTAATTGGACAAGATTTTCAGATCTCCTCGCGGCTGCATGCATTAACTCTGTCTGACTACGTAGACGACACATTTGATATGGTTTGATACATCGTGTAACCAGAAATATAATACTAAAAATAATAATAAAATAATATAAAACCAGTGTGATGCGTAACTACGAAGGGAACGCGAAAGCTCCTCACCAGGCTGAACCTGTATGATGAGGTTAGCGCTGGTTCGTTAACCACTAACGCACCAGCCAACCGGGACCATAGACATAAACTTTACAGGGAAGTGTTGGAATTATTAGCTTAATCATGCTAGTTTTAATGCTAGTGTTAACTTTAACCACATGTTAAAATATTAGACAAATCAACATTGTTTTGAGTAGGCCTAAACTCAGGTTAAAATTAGATTCATTATTCAATCATAATTTGATCCGTATAATATTTTTCTTAAACATACCAGCATGATTTGATAAAAGTAATCTGTAGTTTTCTATTTTTAAAATACAGCCCTGGTCAGTGTGTAAGTAATATGTCTAGGGTCAAAGGACCATTTATATATGCGTCTTAGCCTTTCTGTGAACCCAGCAAGCATTCACAGAGATATGAAATGTGGTTCTCTGAACATAAAGCTTTCTCCCTGTGTTTGGATAACTGATAAAACTCTGTCTCACGAAGGAGACAAAACACCTTTAAGGTTTTGAGGAAAAACAGGCTTTTAGCAGTCGTAAATCTCCCGCCGCTCCGCCAGAGACGGTGCTCAATTCACATACGGTAGAGAGGAAAACACGCCTATGGAAACAAAAGCTGGGTTCCAGAGCAGGGAAACCAGCTCCGTGTTCTCCAGGGATTGGTCCGTTCTTGAAAATGCGTCCCTGTATTTTGTCTTTGTCTCAGGTAATTATGTCTTGGTTTGTGGTTTTGGAAGATTATGACGAGCTGTGTGATTTTATGCATTTGATTGTTTGAATAAATTCTGAATGATTGTTAAAGTTGAACAGTGATCGTTGTGTTGTCTTTGTGGTTTCGCTGATGCACGTGACATCATGGACCCGGGGAATGAGAGAAGACGACAGAAAGTTTTAACAATTTATTCTCTCAACAAAAGACAGAGCAACACGCTTGAGCAGCGTGTTGAGATGTAAACGCAGCACATAATTGTTTGTTCACAAAGATAAATCATTCTCACCGCTCCCTCAACGCGCACCTCTAAATTCGCCACTACAAGTTATTCCTGCAGTTCACGTAGAGCTGCGCAACCAGAACTAACGCAGCAGGGCTTAAACTCCTACCTTGAGTTCTCCAAAGAATCATAATTCCTCACAGTAAATTGATTTAAATATCCATACAGGTCAGCAGGGCCGGCCCAAGCCTCCATGGGGCCCTAAGCGAAATGTGGTTTGGGGGCCCTCTAGTTCTGCTAACAATGTGGACTGGCTGCAATCAGCAGTCCGATCATTAGATCATTCACACACCTGCTATAAACTTATTGCATCTCTGCAGTGCTGTTTATATTACATACATGTATAATACAGGAAACATTTATTGGCCAACTGATTTATCAACCAGTTGATTTCTGGGTGCCAATTTTCTTAATTTTGGGGGATCATGATCGGCCGATACTTAGACGTGAAGCTGATCTTGCCCCCTAATCTTATCTTCATCAGCAAAGGTTTATAAATCAGCCTCTGTCGTCTTCTGCTCTACAGTGAGAGGTTTGACTGACAGACCGGCCCACCAGGACAGGTCTGCACTTTTGCAGTTAATATATATGCCAACTCATCGACTTTCTTGCTATATTTAGCGACATTTCAGAGAAAAAAAAATCATATTAGCCAAAATCAAAATCGGCAGGCCAGGCTTTTTAAAGATCGGTAACCAGGGATCAGCCAGAAAACTGCAATCGGTGCAGCCCTACACACATATTCATGACATTCTTTGATTAAATAAATTTCTCTTAAGCGTTACTCCAATAGTTGAAAATTTTATTTATACCAGGTGAGTCTTTCTCCCCTGAGAATGTGGACCGGTACCGGTACTGGACTAATTCTGAGCCTTCAAATGATTTTAACAGAAGTTTCACATAACTTAGAAGTTGATGTAAAAATAATGTTTGTTTTAGCCACAAAATGATTATGCTCAACAGCAAGCAACATATCCCCAACTATAGCATAGAGCAGCTTATCGATGTAGCAGCTATTGTAGCCTGACGTAAAAACATTTTGCTAGACAATGTCAAACATTGAGAAGTTTTAATTATTGCCATCAAACGTTATCAAACACAGTGATTTGAAGCCAAATATACCTCAGAAATATACAGAGCCAACCATGTGAATCAACTCATTTAAAGTTTAAACTCAGTTTCACACAAACACAAAGACGCTAGCATAAATGTTTGGCTGTTGAACTGGACCGTTCCAGGTCGCTATCAAGCTAATTTTCTAATAGCAGCTTTCCAAATCTTTTACATTACAATACATTACCGAGGCACATTAAAACAAACGTTTATCTTGGCTTTTTTCTATTCTTCCTCTTTCTTTTCTCCCTCTCTGAAGGATAAGTCCATTTTGAGACATTGTTTTGCTTACTTAACTTCTGACCGGAGCTTTGGATGTTTGAATGCTCTGCTCATTGCACGGCAGCTCTTGATACCGGCGAAGCGTGCGGTACCGACTGTGGCCACCAGGGGCCACCGAGAGCATTTTTTTTTAATCCATAAAATAATGATTTCTACATACATTATCAAATATATATTATTGTAAAAACAAATCACTTCATAGTGAAATTGTGTGTGATTTTGATATTATAATGACATAGAAATTATTACAAAAAAAAAAATCAGCTTCACTGAGGGGGCCCCTTAGTGGCTTTGGGGCCCTAAGCAGATGCTTAGTTTGTTTATGCCTTGGGCCGGCCCTGGAGGTCATCTTGTGTCCTGTATGGACACAGGCTGCTCAAAAGGAGGCGCTTGCGCGCGATCTGCGCTGAAGTAAAGTGAAGTAAAGCAGCGGCAGCGCCTGAGGCAAAGCACAGAGGCGCCAGCTGGTCCGCGTGCTGCTGGCCTTAAATGCATCAACTATAAATCTAACATATCCTTTAGGAATAAAGCATGGTGGGCTGCCAGGCTTATAACACACTGGGGGAAACCCTGTATTTCTATTTTATTTGCATTATTCATACTATCTTCAAAGGTAATGGCTTAGTTGTTAAAGACTGACTCTATTTAACACAAATTAACAATTTTAATCACTTTTGTAATTTAATTTGGTGTTTGAATTTTCTTAGTGAATAGCGTGTTCTTGCATGCAATCAGGTCAGAACTTTCAGTAATCCAAAACTGATTGCAACTCTGGTGAACAATCAGAGTTGTTAGGGGGGAGTCTTTAGTTCCCCCCTAAGAGTGAGTGGGGAGAACAGAACAGAACCGCTTGTGTAACATCTGATCTCTTTGGATGGCAGATGAGGAATTAAATTGAGTTTTCTATTCTATATCTTATAAAAAACATAGAACTAATCTCTCCTTTGCTTTGCAAAAGCTATGATCGCTCTCTCTAAAGTATCGCTGACTATTCTTGCCTTCATTTGTGCAGGTCCTTGGGGTCGGTGTATGGGAAGTGAATGTGGACCTGGAGGCAGCCAGAGCAGAGCAGTATGGTGCGCCCATTCTGAAGGTTGGACCACCCTCCATACAAACTGTGACCAGACAGAGCGGCCAGACAACCAGCAGAGCTGCTTCAGAGTGTGTGACTGGCACAAAGATTTGTACGAATGGCAGCTCGGTGCTTGGAACCAGTGTGTCCCAGTGATGATGCGCAGTGCTGGGGTGCAGCGGCCAGCAGTGTGCACAAAGGGAGAGGAGGGCATCCAGACACGAGAAGTGGGTTGTGTTCAGAAATCTGATGGCAAGCCTGCGGAGGATGTAATTTGTGAATACTTTGAACCTAAACCAAGGCAGGAACAGGCCTGTCTCATTCCGTGTCCTCGGGACTGTGTGGTGTCTGAGTTCAGCCCGTGGACTTCATGTTCTAAAACATGTGGGATTGGCTTACGGAATCGGATACGCTTTGTTCTGGCACCACCACTGTTTGGTGGGTCTGCCTGTCCAAATTTGACTGAATTTCAGACATGTCAGCCCGGCCTGTGTGAGGGAGAGGAAAACCTTTACAGCCTCAGAGTTGGACCTTGGGGCTCCTGTTCTGTACCTTTGCCAAGGATAGCCAGACAAGCTGAAAAACCACCCAAGGAAAGCAACAAGAGATCCAGAGAAAGTGACAAATCTGCTAAAAAGGGCAGCAAACAGTCAAGAGATGGTGAAACACCATCCAGAGGAGGTGACAAACAGGCCAGAGAAGACAGCAAACAGTCCATGAGAGAAAGAAAAAAGATGAGAGATGATGAAAAACAGTACCAAGAAAAGGACATAAAGTCCACAGAAGGTGAGGAGAAAGTGTCCAAAAATGGTAACAAACCATCTTTGAGCAACAGAAAATTGGTTAGAGAAAACAGAAAACAGGACAAGGCATTCAGACAGGCAGGCCGACCCAAACGACAGAAAAAGGTAAAAAACAAGGCAAAAAAAGAGAAAATGAGAGAAAAAGGCAAAGGAAGATTAAGAGAAAAGGGGGAAACCAAAGACCCAGAGACCAGAGAGCTAATCAAAAAGAAGAGGAACAAGAATCGCCAGAACCGCCCAGGAGGAAAATTCTGGGATCTGCAAGTTGGCTACCAAACCAGAGAAGTGACCTGTGTACACAAGAGTGGGACCATTGAAGCTCTGAGGTACAAATGATTGGAATGTCATTCTTTCTGTAAGCATGTGCGTCTGCATAGGTCCTGTGTCATTTCTCTTGCTAGACAATCTTGTCTTGTTTGGAATAAACCAAAAGTTGAGACCTTAAAGTTTTAAGGTCTTAAGGCGAGAAACATAAATCAAAATCTCCAGAACTGGGTTGATGACATCACAGGCAATGTTAGCATTGTTAGCAATGTTAGCAGCTATTAACAAACACAGGTTGAAATAGCACAAGTAAACAATAACCCAGGGCACAGAATACCATGTGCAGAATGTATTACCTGGTCCTGAATTCAAATTCTGGGCTGGGGTCTTTCTTTGTGGACTTTGTCTGTTGTGTTGGTGGATTGTGAGTCTTCTCTGGGTTCCCCAGCTTCCTCCTACAGTCCACAATCATTTGTGATAGGTCACTGGGTAAGTGCATGCATGGTGTGTCTCTGATTTGTCCTGTAATGAGCTGACATCCTGGGTAGGCTAAAGACCTTAACTTGTATAATCACTGTTAGGAAAAGCTTCAGCTTCCTGTAACTCTGAAAGCTTGAGATGGGCATAAAACATGGATGGATGGAAATCAAAAGAGAAGTATTACATGTTCTAACACCTTCTTCTTAGGGTGTTACAAATAATTTCTCATACAGCAAATTCATTTGCATTTTTGGGGATGTTTAAAGGCTGTACATCTTTAAATATTATGATCAAGATTAATTTTCAGCCATTAAAGCTGAAGTATGTAACTTTTTTTTTTTAAAAAAAAGAAGTTTTTTACACAACTGCCATGTTGCGAGAGTATAATATAAAACACATAATCTGTGAAAGAAAATCAAGCTCCTCCACCTCAAGGGCGTAGGAA